TATTGTGTGTCATGCAAAGCCAAAACCTTAATGATCGCGATCAAAAACGGACAAATTCAGATTATCTGACATAAATAGACATATGAAAACATTACTCATTTACATTATTCATTAGAGATAAACTTTCCTGAACTTTTTGTGTCCCAATTTCCTATTTCCTTAAGAACGCTTTAATAAATCTTGCATGTTTAGTCAAATCAATAAAGATGTATCAATTGCCGATAACTTGAAAAATTACATCATTATTGATTTTTACAAGATATTCTTTAAGAAAACGAATTGAAAATACCGAACTAGGGGTGTGAATTTATTGTTATTGTTATTAATAACAATAACATTTTTGTTATTGTTATTGATAACAATAACTTTTTTGTTATTTGTTATTAATAACAATAACTTTTTTTTGTTATTATTATTAATAACAAAAAAATAACAAATAACTTTTTTTTCCGAAAAACCTCTAACTACGAGTGGGAAGTTATCTTTACGTTCCACGCTAATCCGTAGCCTTGGGTCCTCAAGTCCTATTATTCGGGGATATCCTTGGGTCCTCAAGTCCTACTATTGGAGAGTACCTTTAGGTCCTTAAGTCCTACTATTGAGGGCACCCTCAGGTCCTCAAGTCCTACTATTGGGGGACAACCTCAGGTGGGAGTGTGAATTTATTGTCATTGTTATTTGTTATTAATAACAATAACTTTTTTTTGTTATTTTTTGTATTAATAATAAAAAAATAACAAATAACTTTTTTTTTGATGAACCTTTAAATCCAATACCTGTCTATCTCAACTATATCGATTATATTGGTCTATGTTTAAGGAATGAAATTACTACTGCTATGACATCAATCCATCTGGAAATTTGAGAATTTGCATAGATCATATCGATGAAGATATTTTACACGTTTTTTACTGCTCAAAACAATAGAAATTGACCGACTTCTCAAGAAATTCTCATGATTTCAATCCATTGAACCCTTCTTGTTACAAAAAATAACAAAAGTTCAGAAAACTGTCTGAACTCAGGAAGAATATTCATTTTGAAATAACTAATACATATTTCTCTTAACGAATAGTTCTTGTTTAAAACTCCTATATATATTTCAGGATCGATTCGTTTCTTGATGCAGCACTCCTTGCGATTATAATTCGAAACAGTTGACATATTCCGTTAGAATAGACAAGATCAATTATTTGAATTAACGTAAATCTTCTAGGTCGATCTCGAAACACATTTGTTTTCGTCCTTTTTCTGCTTTTCTCTTCGATGAAATTTGTTCATCGAATGAATCATATAGATGAACGCAAGTGTTCAGTCCAGTCTATAACAGAACGAGAAAAAGAATTTTTTTATTTCTCTCTCATTCTCACATTTCTATCATAACGTTTATTTGTATTGTTGGTACATTTCTAATTTTCAAACGATTTGATTCACATGATGTCAGCCGAAGAAGAAATGGAATATCAGTCTTATCCATCTGCATCAGTCAATATTCCAATGTCTTCTGCTCGTCGTCGTTCAGTATCTCGAAGACGTGATCGTAGTTTGAATTCTGTTCACTTTCAAAATCTCAATCGTACGTCTAAACGTGCAGCTTCTACACCGAAACCAACTCGTCCTAGTGGTCGTACTTTAAATTAATCATCAACCAACAATCAATTATCAACCAACAGTCAATCATCAACCCACAATCAATCATCAACCAACAGTCAATCATCAACCAACAATCGATTATCAACTTGCACCAAAGAAAAAAAGGACATGTTGCTATTTCTCTTCTTTCACCTATTCATCCATCAAATTCACCTGATCGTTCTCAATCACCAGCTCCACTATTGCCTTTCGATTGTCCATCAGATGATGAACAACATCAACAGCAGAACATGCATATTACAACTCGATCTGGTAAAATGAAGAAAGATACAGTTTTATCATATTTTACTCTACGATCAGATGGTCAATACGACTGCAATACTTGTCATCAGGTAATTTCGGCTCAGTCTCATTTCAGGCACTTTTTCGTTTGAGTCATTTTATAAATAAACAAGCACTTGTAAATATATTTTTTCGGTTCAGTTTGAAATAACTTTTTTTGAGAGAGAAATTCTTTGCAAATAAGTATATGATTATTTTCTTATTAGATTCATGATCAATAATGAAGATCTTTAGAAAGATAAGTTAGATTTTTTTTTTATATCTCCATAGTTTATTTTTCTGCTCTAAAGTTAGAATTTTACAACAAGAAAATATCCTAACGTTAGTAAAGATTTTATTGCTTAAATCAAAGAATATATGCTCCAAGCTTTTTTTTCATTTCCAACGTTGGGATATTAAAGCAAAAAGTGTTCTAACATTAGGAAACGTTTTATTGCTCAAATCAAAGAACACAGCTCCAAAGTTTATTTTTCGTATCCAAGATTAGAGCATTCAAGCAAAAAATTATTTTAACTTTAGTAAAGACTTTATTGCTCAAATTGAAGAATGCAGCTCGAAAGTTTGTTTTTCATATCTAAGGTTTGGATATTTAAGCGAAACAGTATTCTAACGTTAGGAAAGGCTTTACTGCTCAAACTGAGGAACGCAGCTCAAAAGTTTGGTTTTTATATCTAATGTTGGAATACTCAAGCAAAAAGTATTCTAACGTTTGGACAGATTCACTATACATAATGAATGTCACAGCTCCAAAGTTTATTATTCATATCCAATGTTAGGGTATTCAAGCAAAAAAATTATTCTAAAGTTTGTAGTTATATGATTAATTATTAGATCTAGATTTTGAGTCATAGCTCCAAAGTTTGTTTTTCATGTCCAACGTTTGGGTTCTTATGCAAAATTTATCCTAAAGTTGGTAATGATGTATTTTTTGTGTTCGAATCTTTAGCTCATTATTCTATGGTTTGTCTTTTATCTCAAAAATGAAGATTTGAAACTCAAAAGTTGTTCTAATATTGCTAATTATCTATCCTTCATGTTCAACATGGAACTCAAATCTCTATTGTTTCCTCTTTCTTCACTCAGATTTAGGATATATTTATTTAGAGAATGTGATCATGAACCCAAAGAAAGTAAATAATCATTTAACTCACATGAAATAGATAGAAGATCAGCTAAATTGCGTTCTAAATAGTATCATAATTGTGTAAGCAACAAATAGTATTTTTCCATATAAAACTCAACATTTAAATGTTTTATCAATAGTCCTTTTTTTAAAATTAATAACCAACACTAATTGTGCACTTTACAGATCTTTGAAAATGTTTAAAGAATAAGAATAATACAAACAAGAATATTAAACATTTGATAGATATATAAGGTGAAACATATTCAAATGAAAATAACAAATGAGAGAAATCTTATTTTATTTTTAAATAAAATAACAAAATTTTACATCAGAAAGTGATGTTATCGCTTTTCTTATTCTCTAGTAATTATATAAGGGAATTACCAACTATAATATAAAGTTTTATCATTTATCTATATACTCCTAGATTAAAAATCTATTATCATCTTATAAATCTTCATTATAACCGACATAACTATTGTTTGAGATACTTAGCATAGTCTGTCTGTCATTTCGTTTTTGCTATCCTACTGTCTCAAAACAAAAAGAATTTCACCACTGAAACTTAAAAACATTTATCTCTGTTAAGATTTCTTTCTATACAAATTTGTATTGTTCAAAGTATTTACCAGCTTGAAAAATATTCGTTTTTCAAGCAAAAATAATTTTTAACAAATAATTTTTGAGTTAGTGTCACTATTTTCTTTTGACAAAATCTATCATTTTTTATATATGATTATTGAAGATACATGAACTATTTTACTGTAAAAAAAACAATGGCTTTCTCTCGATGAATTAAAATATTTTATAGTCAAAAGCATTATTTCAACTGTAATTTTAGATGTGATCTAATAACTTTTATGATTAATAGATGCTTGAAATAATTTTTTGTAGCTCTAACAGAAGTGTTACATATTAAGATAAGTATACGATATTTTTGACTAGAAGCAACTGCTACTCCAAAGAATTTCGAATCACAGATTGATCCAAGCTAAACCTATGTTGACGATCTAATCCTCCCACTCCTTTCTTTCTGCAGAACAGATCTTTTTGCATCCGTCCTCCTTCCCAGTAGAAATCTACCAGAGCAGGGGAAGGAAAGGGAAAAAATTTCCCAACGAAAGTTTTTTCACAACTAATATCCTCTAAAATACCTTATAAATGTAAATATCAATCTTTCAGAATATGTCTCATGTGTATGTGACTTCATTACCTAGTGGGAGTTATATGTATTTTGCTGATTTCATTCGATCTCGTGAATATAAGATAAGACACGATATTTTTTTTTATAAACCTTACTTCTTTCAAACAATCAGACTAAATAAACCAAATAATCTAGAACCCAATATGTTGAGAGATATTATACAGCTGAAGAGTTTCTTTGGAACTGTCAAATTTTGATGCAAAAACTCTGTGAATGTCAATTATCCAGATTTTGGTTATTCTCAAAAAAACGAGTGACTGTTTCTGTAATTGATTATGACATATTTTTTTTCTTGACTATAATGACAGTTTGATAGAATCTGTTTTTTGTATCACAATAGTTAGAAAAGTTATGCTTAGTTCAACTGACCAAATTGAAAAGTAAGCTTTGCGATATTCATTACTAAGAAAACTCTATCAATGCATATCAACATGCTTCTAAACAATACTACTAATTGATAATTTAATTATCTAAGTAGTTCATTATCTATCATCAACTGTAAACTTATCTGTAATGTACCATATTAGTTACTCAATCAAAATGGTAGTTCTTTTTTTATTCTGTTGTTGTTTTAAATATCTCGAATTAGGAAAACAAACGGGTCTTCAAACGTTTACTTTTTTGGAATAATCATTTGTAAACAAAAATAATTTTGTCTGAAGGATCAAAGAAGACAATTCTCTTGTTGGCTTTTGAAATTTTATTTTTACTTTATACACCAATAAGACTCTCCTGCTATAAAATATAAATAAGACGTGCTCTGTTGAACAAATTACTGAAAATATGTGAAAGTATTATAAAATTCATATTAAAAAATATTTATCATTTAAGAAAAAAAAAACAAGTTGCTGTGTATTTTCGTTATAGGGCGCCTATTAATAAAAATAGTGAAAAAAATTCGTTTGAAAAATTAATTGTTTTTTTTTCATCTAAACGCGCTTATCGTATAAAATAAAATAAAAATAGTGAAAAAAATTCGTTTCAAAAATGAATTGTTTTTTCCATCTAAACGCGCCTATAATATATAATAAACGAAGTACCTGAAATGAGACACTCCCGTTAAGACAACATGCAACCACAAATGCAGTATTAATATCAAATAGTGTACAACCAATCAAATCACCAATGCGTCGACCACATCCCTCATCAAATGATGAACTGTCGGAGACGGAAAGCTTCATGAATGATATTAGTACAAGAACAGTTCACAATCATAAACGTACCAGATTGAATGCAAGCAAGTTACAACAACAACAACCAACAATAACTACATCGGTTCATACATCTTTAAATAATCGTACTCATGTAACAACAACAATAGATGAAGTGATCTCGATCGAAGCTGAACGTTTTGCACAATCAAGATATCCCTTTCCACCCTTTATCATTCGCTTCGCAACGCCAAATATTAAGGAACAAACAGTGGCAGATGTTCTTCGTAAACATTTAAAACAACATAATCAACTAGATATCGAATTTGTCGGTTATCGACGTTCAACAAATAAATGCAGCAATAATGAAATTGATATACTATTATTTGTAAAAGATAGTTATTCATTCGCATGTCTATTCGATGATTCCGATTGGCCTACATTGCTTAATGGAGAAATGTTTGTTCGATCTCATAAACCACCAATACTACCTCAATTGTCATTAATAATTAAAAACGTTGGATTAAATATTGATTGGGTACGTTTCTCTAATGAATTAAAATCAAACTATTCTGGTATTGTCAATATTATAAGGATGAAAAACAAGAAATATTAAAATATTAAACTTATCTAAATCGAATTTGATAAACCTGAACAAAGAAATGATATTTTACTCAAAGGCAAAATTATAATCGAATGTTTATCATATGAAGTAGAAGAATATTTAGCACCTGCAAGGGTACTCAGCTGCTCCAAATGCATGGCCATTGGCCATTTCCGGAAGCAATGTCAACTATAGTATGATATATGTAAAAAAACGTGGAACTGAATATCCTGATGTAAAACAACACAATCGTTTGGAACAACTTCATTGTATTCCCTGTCATGGAAATCATCGATTGAATGACATGAAATGTCTGGTGGTCAAGGAGTTCAGATCAAATCTCACGAAAAGACTTCTTTCTATCTCATCCAATTCAAATAATAATAATAATCAATTTCGTCTAAACTTAAAGGACTTCCAGAGTCTACCTAGTGCTCAAAAATCAACTATTCAAGGTTATAAAACTAATAACCACAGTAACAACAATAATGGTGCAATATTATCAAAATTAAATGAAATGAATCAAAATATGTCTAAAGTTAATGTAATATTAGAAAAATCATCCTCGACAAATGCTAAATTTGAACAATTCATGGCCAATGTAATTGAACAAGATAAAAAAGTGGAAATGAACATACAAGATTTACAAAAGAATGGACAAACAATGATGTCTCATATTACACAACTACAAGTTTATTCAACTCGACATGAAAATCTTTTTAAAAAAGTATTCTTACCAATAATAGACGACTTGTTGAAATTTATGTTAAGTATGAATCGGGATAAACATGATAGAGTTGTTGATGCCGATTTCGGTGTTACACTTGAATGATTGCGGACACAATTGAATAATGCACTAGAAGGAAAAGACTTTTGTTAATAATGATTTTATCACCCTTAGCAATCCCTTTTTTTTCTTGTATTTCACCAATTAAACTAATTGAACGAGAGAGAATATTATGTATGGCTAAAGAATCCTTATCTTATTTTGAATTTATCTTGTTTTTAAACATTTTATATGAATGGGAAAGTTCTCTACTTCTTCACAGTTGCTTTAACTTATGGAAAAAATTCGAGAAGCCCAACCTATACACTATCAGTGACGCACTACATTTATTATCCTTTAACGTTCGAGATCTTAGCAGTAGAATACAAGAAGTTCTTCTTCTTTCGCTCTCATTCAATTTTGATATCATGATTCTGTTAAAAGTGAGTGTTGTTGATCCTTATATGGTAGGACAGTCATTTTCCAAATATCGTTTCCTTTACCAAGCTAGAGAGAATAGCCACGGTGATGCACTAATCTTGTGTTGAAACGATGTTAATGGAAAAAGAATAAGTTGTCAAATTCCCAATGTTTGTATACTGGACCTAGAATTAGATGAAACAATAAGAATCATTGGTGTTTATGGATCTGAAAGTAGAACTTGGAAATGGAATAATTTATCTAACCACGTCTGCGGAAAATGCGTCGTGTTTAGAGATTTTAATGTGGATCTAGAAAAAGATGAAAACAAAAATCGGAAGAATTGTTGAATTGGGCTGACTCTTGCTCCACTTAAACCTGATGCACCCACTTTCTTAAGATCTGAAAGAACAATAGATTATGCCTTTTCAACAGAAATTCCATATTCAAATGCAGATTCATGAAGGTGGTACTACAAGTGATCATAAACCCATTATAGCTGTTATCTCAACTAAATCTGCAGCCTTAACTCATGGTAGAAACATTCACTGGAAGGTCTTCTCGTGGTTTCTTTCTTTAGTTCTCCCTTTCTGGGAAGAGCGTTGGAACTTAAACAGTCTCGATTTAATTTATAACGATTATACAACCTATTTGTCACTACTCTTAGCACTTTGCGGGTGTAGAAAAAATCTTGTGACGCTCACGGACTTTCTATCTATATGTTCCAGTTTATACCAACTGCTTATTGGAATCTCTTGGTACAGGTCTTTAATCTCTCCTTCTCCTCTGCTATCTTTCCTGCTGCGTGGAAAGATATTCGAATAATCATTCTAGCAAAAAAAGATGCAATTTGTTCTCCAGCTCATACATGTCCTATCTCACTGCTCGATGTTATTCTAAAGATAAACGAAAGACTTTTTACGAATAGATTTAGAGAAATTTTAAATATGAGAGGCATTCTTCCGGATACTCAATCTGGATTTAGACCCGGATTTCGTCTTCAAACAAGAGTACTCTTATTCCTAGAACAGATATCGTCATATATGGCAAATAGCTCTCCGGTAACTACCGCCTTTGTGGATTTTAAAAGTGCGTTCGACCAACTTTGGTTTGATGGATGTTTAGGCAAACTTCGTAGAATGAGAATCTCTAAATCCTACCTCAATTAGATAAAATCCTGGCTTGAAGGAAGGAGAGCCTATATCGAAATTGAAGGAAAATGTTCCAGATGGATCTCGATCAATAGAAGAGGACCACAAGGCTCGATCTTTACGTCCAGCTTATTCATAACGTACCATTCTGATATGGGAGATTTTCTTGACTATTGTGTGCCATTCTTCTTCGCCGATGATCTTGCAGCTATTTTGACTGGAAGAATTGGTGCCAAATATAGTGAATAATGTCTTGATCTAGAAAAAAGACTAAAAAAAATTCATTGATAATTTAGAATTATAATCAATCCTAAACCTACAGCCCGTCAATTACGCAAAAACCGAAGCATTATGGTCTTCTAGAGCAATTGTAGGTCCTCATGTTGAAATTAAATGTGGAGCATAAATTATCAATTGGACGAAAGCCTTTAAATACTTAGGATATTGGATCTCGCCTAAATTGGGATGGAATAGAATGATTAAAAAAACAGTTAAAAAGATTAGACAAAGAATCAACATAGTTAATTCATTTAAAATAAATGGGCATACTTCACCTAAATTAAAAAGAGTTCTTTTTTTATGTTACGTCCTCCCAATTTTTACCTGATTATTCGCTATCTTTCCCCTATTCACAGAAAAACAACGTAACGATCTTTCACATTTTTATTATACCTGTTTGAAACGCATATATAGATGTATTCTCTGGACTGATTCATTCTTCTCATTTGCTACAAACGAAATATCTCTGGAGGATAGATGCTTACGATACTGGGGAAGATATTGGAAAACACTTTCGGAATCAATGGATGGCCAACTAATCCTTGAACAAGCTAATCTCAATACATATAGAACAGCATGGTTAAATAAACAGATGCCTATTAAAAGTCTACATAGATCTAAAAGATTTGTACAACATACTTCAATTCTAGAAAAAGTACTTCGTTGGTGTTCCAATTCAACCATGATCAATACTACCCTTAATTTCAATATAGATGAAATCTTAACATTGATTTATTTCCCTGATACCTTTTAATTGAATATCGTTCGGTCTTCTGAATTATTCATTTGTCTTTCCTTCATTCCTCTGCTTCTCACTCATTTGATCAATTTATAAACTAAATCTTATAAACAGAAGGATTGTCATATACATGCATAATATTCTCTCCTATTTTCTATCCTCACACTACTTCTACAAATATTACATTTTATCATTTCTTTTTGTGAAACACGATCTGAAAGGAGTGTTGAAGTGTTTAGGGGCAGAAATTTGCACCCCCCCCCTCCCCCCCACAGACCGTGACAGAGAAATTTCATACCCATCACAGACCGTGAGAGAGGAACCAAATACCCATCACAGACCGTGACAGAGGAACCAAATACCCATCACAGACAGTGACAGAGGAACCAAATACCCATCACAGACCGTGACAGAGGAACCAAATACCCATCACAGACCGTGACAGAGGAACCAAATACCCATCACAGACCGTGACAGAGGAACCAAATACCCATCACAGACCGTGACAGAGGGGCTCCAAAGACCGTCACAGACCGTGACAGAGGGGCTGCAAAGACCATCACAGACCGTGACAGAGTGGCTGCAAAGACCATCACAGACCGTGATAGAGGGGCTCCAAAGACCATCACAGACCGTGACACAAAAATCTAGTACCCATCACAGACCGTGACAGAGAAACCTAGTACCCATCACAGACCGTGACAGAGGGGCTCCAAAGACCATCACAGATTGGGACAGAGAAAACCCATACCCATCAGAAACCTTGGCAGAAACCTAGTACCCATCACAGACCGTGACAGAGAAACCCAGTACCCATCACAGACCGTGACAGAGAAATCGAGTACCCATCACAGACCGTGACAGAGAAATCCAGTACCCATCACAGACCGTGACAGAGGGCCTCCAAAGACCATCACAGATCGGGACAGAGAAAATCCATACCTATCACAGACCTTGACAGAAACCCAGTGCCCATCACAGACCGTGACAGAAACCCAGTATCCATCACAGACCGTGACAGAGAAATCCAATACTCGACACAGCCCGTGATAGAGGGACTCCAAAGACCATCACGGACCGTGACAGAGAAAATTCAAATTCCTTCATTTACAATATAAAACGCTGCATCGTGTTTCACATTTTTAATCCCGCAAGGGATTGCGCTAACAGCTTTTCTCTCAGCTGTTCCTTGTTTATCTTATTTATTATATGAGAAGTAACATGCACTTAAAGGACGGTTTGCAGAGTCCTTCTCATATTAAAAAAAAAACTATTGTTGTCTTATTATGTTTAAATATTATTTGTTTGTGATTTGATCCCTTATCATTCCCTCGTTGACACACCAATTATCGCTGTTAATTCTTTATCCCCCATATTATATGTAATTTGTTCTTTAGCTCTTATACACTTCTTTTTCTTCTTTCATTCTAATATCTTTTGTACTGACAGGACCCAAGCAGTCATCAGCAATGCCAATAAAAAAAAACGAATCATTTTAATAGCAACAAAACAAAATTGTAGTTTCTCATACTTGTTTATAATGTTTCCATAAATTTATTATTCTGATCAAATAACATTAAACATATAACAAACAAATAAAATTATACATAGATTTGTAATAGAATTTAAATAAAATCGAGTCTTTCAATACTCTACAATATCTAACACAAAAAAAAAATGTTTAATTCTTCTTCTTGAGAGAAAAAGTCAACTGAATATCTTTATTGATAATATTAAATGTACCATCTACATATTTTTAACATCTATCATAATTATATCGAACAAAATATGTGCTCAACAAATCATAGACATAATTGTAACTAAATCAGTCGTTTTCATTTTGTTCGAGAGGAATCATGATCTGGTTTATATAATCGATCAATATCATATAAGAAAAAATACAATTTTCATAAATAAATTGATTACATTCAAAGAAATCCTTCAATATTCTTACATTTTTAGAATTCATTTTTACATTGAAATGAATAAACACATTTATTTTGCATTAGCTTATTTATCGTATAGAAATTCGCTAGACTATCTCGTGCTCTAGTGCATGTCCATGCAATGTTACGTAAAGCTTTATGGATTGCATGTTGCATCATCTTATGATTCGAGTTGACCTGCAAAGAACGCGAAAGGATGTGGGTGTGGCTCTGGAGTTGAGGTTTAATATATGTTGAATAGATTTGGAATCAAGAATCTTAGAATTTGATTTGTACCGCATCTCTACTAAATTAGATTATTATTGATGTCAACTTATCTTACTAAATTCTTTTGGAATGTAGGTCATTTGAAATCAAATCCCAAAACTCTGAGTTTGTTGTATTCCTAGTCTGAAGGATCTCAGTGTGGATGTAGGTATGAACGTGAGATCCTTATTGCATTCACACACTCATATGATATTTGTTAATACATTTTTTGAAAGAAAAAAAAACTTGTTGCTATTTTAATTTTTCGTTCTTCTTTATCTTTTT